GAAGGTGTGAGTAACAATAGGGGGAAATTAGTTTTTGTAATGACCCATCCACTCCCAGTCTTTATTCAGGCCTAATTTGATGGTGTCCAGTTTGTAAATTATTCCAGATCTGCAGCATCTCATTGGAGTCTGTTTTTGAAGTTTTTGTTGTTGAAGAATTGCCACTTTTAAGTCTGTTACTGAGTGACCATGGAGGTTGAAGTGTTCTCCTATTGGTTTTTGAATGTTATAATTCCTGATGTCAGATTCGTGTCCATTTATTCTTTTGCATAGAGACTTTCCGGTTTGGCCAATGTACACGGCAGAGGGGCATTGCTGGCATATGATGGCATATATAATATTGGTAGATGTGCAGGTGAACGAGCCCCTGATGGTGCGGCTGATGCGGTTAGGTCCTATGATGGTGTTCCATGAATAGATATGCGGACAGAGTTGGCACCGGGGTTTGTTGCAGGGTTTGGTTCCTGGGTTAGTGTTTTGGTTGTGTGGTGTGTACTTGCTGCTGAGTATTTGCTTCAGGTTGGGGGGCTGTCTGTAAGCAAGGACTGGCCTGTCTCCCAAGGTCTGTGAGAGTGAGGGACCGTCCTCCAGGATAGGTTGTAGATCCTTGATGATGCGCTGGAGAGGTTTTAGTTGGGGGCTGAAGGTGACGGCTAGTGGCATTCTGTTACTTTCTTTGTTGGGCCTGTCTTGTAGTAGGTGACTTCTGGGTACACTTCTGGCTCTGTCAATCTGTTTCTTCACTTCAGCAGGTGGGTATTGTAGTTTTAAGAATGCTTGATAGAGATCCTATAGGTGTTTGTCTCTATCTGAGGGATTGGAGCAAATGTGGTTGTATCTTAGAGCTTGGCTGTAGACAATGGATCATGTGATGTGGTCTGGATGAAAGCTGGAGACATGTATGTAAGTATAGTGGTCAGTAGGTTTCTGGTATAGGGTGGTGTTTATGTGACCATTGCTTATTAGCACTGTAGTGTCTAGGAAGTGGATTTCTTGTGTGGATTGGTCCAGGCTGAGGTTGATGGTGGAGTGGAAATTGTTGAAATCCTGGTGGAATTCCTCAAGGGTCTCCTTCCCATGGGTCCAGATGATGAAGATGTCATCAATGTAGCGCAAGTAGAGTAGGAGCATTAGGGCCAGAAGGGTACCCAGAAGTCACCTACTACAAGACAATGATTTTTTCTCCCTTGGTATTCTACTGTTGAGAATAGCCCATTTCCACTTTAATTGAATTGTCTCATTTGCACTGACCCCCCACTTGGTAAGGCAACTCCCATCTCTTCATGTACTGTGTATATATACCTGCTACTGTATTTTCCACTCCATGCATCCGATGAAGTGGGTTTTAGCCCACGAAAACTTATGCCCAAATAAATTTGTTGGTCTCTAAGGTGCCACAAGGACTCCTCGTTGTTTTTGTTTGTTTGTTTGTTTGTTTGTTTGTTTGTTTTTAAGGGACAAACCATTCCTCCTTTTCAGCAGCAGCAGTTTTTAGATAGTATTGCAGGTTTTCCAACATTGGCAGTTCAGGAACAGGACTCACTTGTGAGGCCAACAGAGGAAATAAAACTTCATGTAGCTGTCTTGTCACTTAAGAAAGGAACTTTTCTGGGGGTGGACTATTACACAGTGGAATTTTATCAAAGGTTTATGAATCCCCCCCTCTGCAGTGCTTTCAGTGACACCTTGAATACATGTACATTGGACCTTCCGTTTATGAAGGCCTCTTTTTTTCAAAAATAGGATTGGGAAGATATCCGGAATTGGAGACCTATTACCATTTTGAAAACAGATTACGAAATTTTGGCTTCCATTCTAGCCAAAAGATTGGAGAAGAAAGCAAGGAAATAATTGTATCCCACTCAGTCTAATGCAGTTCAAGGTCACATGGTGGCAGGCATTTTGTGTAGTTTGCAGGAACTATTTGAAATTGGGTGATGGGGGAAATGGGAGAGTTATGTTTTGTCTTTGGATCGGACCAAAACTTTTTACAAGAATGAATTTGCGTTCTATGTGGTTGGTCTGGTCTCGTAGTGGTATTCCCCTACTGTTTATTAACTGGCTGCAGCTCTTGTATGTTCATGTATTATGCATCCCTTTAGTAAAAGGGTGGAAGGGAGAGGCTATATTTTGAGGTAAGACAAAGTTGTCCCTTGAGTCCACTTTTGTATTATTTTTTTTTGGACACTTTACTGTGGGCAGTGTATGGTAATGGGATTTCAGGGCATAAATTCATGGATTAAGAGTGAGAGGAATTTCACTCTGTCAATGAAAATGTTCATCCACATGAATGATGTCACAGTGCTGGTTGGCAGTACAGAAGATGGGGACTTTTTCTTTTTTTGCACTTTACATAATTATTCATCTGCAGCCAGAGCAGAAATTAACATGAAGAAGAGTTTTTCTGGGTGGGGATTTCGTGGTATGCTTTTGCTCTTTCGGAGAAGTCACAGATTGTGATGAGCCCTCCCAGAGTTACAGATATTTTGGGACTTGTCTTTGGCAGTGATTCAGTTGCTGAGTAGAACAGGGAGAAGCAGGTTAAGGTAATGAGGTGCCAAGTTAAGGTGATGAGGTGGAAGAGATGGACGCTGATGTTGGCAGAAAGGATGATATTAACTATAAACATTCCTATTACTCCTTTGCATTTATGTAGCATATGGGTATCCTGCCCCTGGAAAACAGGGTCATTTTTTCAGATGCTCTGGGGCAATAATGTAACCTAATGGAGAGAAGCATAGTCTACCTGCCTGTTAAAGAATGAGGTTTGGGTTGGTATGCCCTGAAGCTTTCTTGATGGTATTCTTTTTATTTTTAATTTTCATAGGCTTTGCATGGCTGAGGGTATGGAATGGTCAGTCATTTCCCAATATTACTGGATATGTCACAGGGGAAGAAAAGGAGTAACTGGTGGGAAAAAGGGGATGCAGTCCCTACAAAGGGTATTTTTTTTCCTATAACAGTCAAGCAGCCTCCCTCTAACATACTTACTTTAAAATGTATTTCCCATTGGCAAATTCAGGAAACAGCATTCTAAACCAGAGTGTACTTATGGAATATTTCTCAGAATGCCATTTAGCAGTATTGAATTGCCCAGAAGATTGTCTCAGTAAGGTCATTATAGAACCTTCAAAATAACAGAGTTCCCGTCAAGTACAGGGACATACGGTGGCAGGTATTTCGTAGTAAATTATATGTTAGAAGTAACCTATGAGGGAAGCACATAGCTGAAGGCGAACCTCAGGAAGCCTGCTCTGGGTCTGAGGAGGTAGTGGAGCAGTTTTTATTATTCTGTTCCCTTCACATCTGCATTTGGGATTTTTTGGCTTCAAAACTGAGAGTTCCATTGTTGCATGGCCAGACATATGGACAATTGACTTTTGGATCTTTTTCAGACACCAGAGGATTCAGCGTCTGTTCCAATAAGTAAAAGACAGACATTTGCTGTGTATTTTCTCCGAAACTCTGGTTGTTGTTCATACAATGGTTTTATACTACCTCTGCAGAGCCACTGTTCAGCTGTCTGGGGCAGGCACAGAATGACAAACCTGAAACACTTGTTCACACTATTTGTGCAGTTATTCAGTCACTGGCAATGTGAATAAAAAAGTCTGAGCTTGGTGGGAAATGGAGGGTGAGATGAGGCCCTATAATACTGGATTGATCTTGTAGTTTTAAAGACAAAAAGTCCGGGGTGGGGAGGGTTTTTGTTTTTGTTTTTAAATCTGCAATTTGTTCTGACTTTGACTCTAATTTTGGGGGTTTGGTTATATTTCAATAAATGTGAAAAGAGAGATTGGGGGAGTTTATTTTCTTTCAAAAAGTTTTGTTTGATTTCACATCTGGAGCTTCCCTCCCAACATCTCCCCTTCTTCATATTTTCCAGAGATTGTTTTTCATTCCTCCTGCCTTCATTGAAAGTGAGCACATATATTAGTAAAATATGAATTTTAGTGCAGTCTTCCATTGTTTGTTTGTGTAGTATAATCCATGCCTACACAGGTAAACAACAGCTCCACATCAGAAAAAATTAATTGCCTGTTAATCCAAACACAGACTTTAATCTAAAAATGATTTCCTACAATAGGCAATGTTTTGAAAATTAATTAATTAATTATAACAGCTTAGGGTTAATTCCCATTTTCTTCATGTAAAACTAAACAAAAATCCAGTCACATCCTACATGGGTTCTAAGTATTTTGTGGGGAATTCACTAGGAACTCAGTTCAGGGGACCTACTTAATACAGATATGAGACGAACTCGGTGGCATAAACCCTTTTGTGTAGAACTCAGTTAAACATCACCATATATGGCACAAAGCCTTTTGCCTAAGGGCCAACAGTTTGACTAGAACCTGGATAACATAGATACTTCATATAAGTTATAACCACCTGATAGCTATTTAGTGATTTTAGTCTATTTGCAAAGGTGTAGCTGTGTATGTTATACAAACCATCTCAATAATTGGCACCTTTCTGGTAGTCTCAGCAGAGAGGTCAAGGACTGAAAGGGCATGAAAACTAAACTGAATTTTTCATTGCCATAGATGAACCTTCTAGGTCAGGATTCAAGCCATTTGGGGACAACTATACTGTTGCTGGCTGGCTGTGCTTAGTTTGTTTAATCTAAAATGTGTCATGAACAATATAAAAGGAACAGCCACTCACAGGGGGAGGGACCTTTAAAAAAATCCTACATTGTTTAATCTAATTCAGTCTATTTGGATATTACTGAATATTGAATTCTGGTGATTCTAGAAGCACAGAAAAGTTAATTAATTGTTACCTTCAGATTGTTTCCCATCTCCTTCTCCTTCTGCACTTTCCACACCAAATTAAAGTTTTTGATGGAGACATTATATTAGCATTGGTTCAATATGTGCTCTATTAAGTTTACAAATTAAAACAAACATTTCCATATTGACCTCTGCTTGTCTTGTGCAGACTTCACTAACATTTTAATTATATTCACAGAAGCAATTTCAAAGCCATTTGCTTACCTTCTTCAGGGAAATAATTCCTTCCCGTGTCTCTTTGTCAGTGGATATGGAAAACACTCCAGAGCCATCACCATTTATGATCGTGTATTTCATGTCTGCATTAGAGCCAGCATCTGCATCATTTGCCTTGATTTTGCCTACTGCTGATCCAACTTGGGCTGATTCAGGAACATACAGCTGATAATGTTCTGGGAAAAAATATTAGGAAAATATTTCTAATCAAGCTAAAAACAGATTTTCAGACTACTCAACACCCATCGTGACTGCTAATCAGAGAACACAATTACCTCAGAATACTGACCATGCTAAACTGCAAACCATATACATTTCTGACCATAAAGAGCACCAGCCAGAATTCTAAGTGACATTTAGTATTTGTACAAGCAGATTCTGATGGTCATTAAAAGATAAAATACCTGTTCAAGAGATAATTAAGTAATTGGAGCACAATACCTCTTGTTAGCAAACATTTGGAAAAATACACTGTGGTGTGAATCACTGGTTTATATTATCCACACAAAAATATCAACTTATCAACACACTGCACATACCTTGACTATGGAATATGAGTTCTTCAAAGAGCAGATCACTGTTTTGTAGGCAAGAATGACAGAACAGTCTCCTTACAGTGGGGTAAAAATCTATGTTAACAGAAAAGTCCCAGTTCTTATACTTTGAAACATGTCTTTCAATATAAGGTTTATAGGCCACAGTCAGTGTAGCATGCGTATTTTGCAACCTTAATAAACGTATAACTCTCTATGTTCATTTTCCACCTAATCTGGTGAAGGAAACAAATGTAACTACTCCAGGGTAAAAGGAGAACAATGTAAAATGCTTGGAGTTGCTCTCTTCCTTCCCAACTCTTGCAGTTGCAAGAATGTTTACCACTCAAAACTTTATGGCACTGAAAAAAAATCTGTTTATATCTGAAGTGAGTATTCATGCACCCATTGTCTAGACATAATGTAAAAAGAAATAAATGCCCATTGAAAAGAATGAGACCAGAGAAGCTGCAATTATAAGGGGAGGGATAGCTCAGTGGCTTGAGCATTGGCCTACTAAACCCAGGGTTGTGAGTTCAATTCTTTATGGGGCCATTTGGGGCAAAAATCTGTCTGGGGATTGGTCCTGCTTTGAGCAGGGGGTTGGACTAGATGACCTCCTGAGGTCCCTTCCAACCCTGATATTCTATGATACCAATGGCTATTGATATGGAGCTGGGAGTTTTAAATATTACTGAGTTCATGGCTGCATTGAGAAATACATCCAGTACTGTTATACTAGCAGACGTATATTTAGGGTTGGCAGAATTCAATTTATTTTATTTGATTTTCTTATAATTTTGAATATTTGATTTTTATCAATTTTAATTTTCATAGTAGCACATAATTATGGGTTTGAAGCAATGTTTTTGATTTTTGTCTATTTAAAATTTCACAGCTGCAGGAAAATATGGTGGGATCAAACAATGGAGAGAGTTAGACAATAATTATTTAGTGACAGTAACTGTTGAGATTTAAACAGTTAAAGTTCTATATAAGTTAAACCACAAACTGTTAACATCACATGTCAAAATATGCAGAGTAAATATGCTTAAATCAAACTCTAAGTTATCAAACAGCATTTTTCTTACTTTACCCATCTGTAAATTTCAATTAACATTGTTGGAAATATTCTTTCATCGGGGTTTGTGTGTGTGAGAGAATGTTCATCGACATTTACCAATAAAAATACTATCCTTCCAAACCTACCTATATTAGTCATCACTGAGCGACAATAAAACAAGAAACCATTGTGTTTCTGTTGAACAGTGTAAAGTGGCCTTAAGAGCCCCAGTCCCACCCAGGGGAGGATTCCTTCAGCATAGATACTGCGGAAGACATCCATAAGGCTGTTTCAGAGGACCCTCTCCTAATCCCTGTCATAGGGGGTATGCAGAGGATAGGGCTGACGGGGGAGGGCTATGTTGGGGGAGAGGCAAGTTGGAGGCAAAACTGCAGCCCACAGTGCAGTGGAGATTCAGGGCAGTGCTGCAACCTGTAGATAGAACTCTTGGGGCTGTCTAAGGTCTTGGCTACAAGGCATGGCAATGCACACTAGAGGGTGTGACACATTGCGCATTAACTGGCCCATGTAGATCCTGTTCTGTGAACTAAAAGCTCCCTAGCATGTGTTAACATAGTGCTCATTAACATACACTAGGGGACTTTAAGTTTGCACCAGCAGGGTCCCCACCAGGCAACAAGTGCACAACTCATTGGTGAGCTTTAGAATTTCCACACCTCTAAGGTGCATTGCTGTGTCACATAGACATGTCCTACATTTTGCCCAGTCCAGCCCACAAAGCATCCCAGTGTAAGGAGTGCACAAGGATGGCTTAAAGCATCTTCTCCCCACTCCCCTTGACTGTGAGTTATTTCACCAAGTATTTTAAAAAGTATCTTTGAAGAGGTGATTGGCAATAGAATGGGGGGGGTTCATTTCTAGGGCACCAGTTCAAACCTTTCTTGGGATGACAATGGCAGTCATTACCAGCTGACGCCAGATGGGTGGTATGTGAAATGATTTTGTGGTCTTTGCCAAATTCCCAGAAGAAAAATGTCTACCTCACACACACACACACAATCACAATTTCTTAGCAGTCTGAGCAGAAGGGCTGAGTAACAAGGGCGAGTGCACTATCCTCTTATCTATTCAAAATCAGGTTTGTGGGCAAGTGAAAAAAGGCAGTGTGAGGAAGTTTACACTGCTTAATGCCAGGGTCATAGACTCACAAAACAAAGCTTTTTATGTGAATATATATATATGTGTATATGTAAATTATGTATAAACATGTTCAGATGTATACACACGCAAACAGAAGTTGATTTCTATGTTAACAAATATTAGGAAATATGTATGTTATAAATCTCTAGAGGATAATCATAAAAAAGGCAATGACGAAGGGTCATTCATTTTTGTGAACCAAAAGAGGGGTCTCCAGTAAAGGAAGTAGAGGATATCCATTATGACTAATCTGCAAAGCTAAAGATTCAATTTTAATGATGCTGGATACATGAATTCTAAGAAAAGATTTAAATAAAGAAGAAGAGAGAGGGAGATAGGTCACCTTGAAATAGTAACTACAAGGGAAGAGTGTGATGAGCTAGTAGAATTTACAACAACGTTTAAGGATTATGCAAATTATTTTACAGGACGAAGGAGAAATACAAAAAAAGAAAAAGAAAATGGAGTCTCAAAATGAAGAATGAGATTGTCTCCATATGACCCTATATGTCACACTGAAAACATTATAGCAGCACCAGAGTAACCTGAGGTTGTTAAAAGATGGAGATAGTACCATCGAAAAGTAAAGAAAGGACTTTATTAAAAAAGATTATTTCAGGGAAAAGGAGAATTTAATCTGAATTTAGATTAGACCCACACTTCTGGCAGAAAGGACTCCTTCAATGAAGACATAAAATGATGATACTACAGAAGTTGAAGCTGCAGAGGAAATGCACAGTAAAATTAATACAGCATATAAATAAATAAATGGACTTGATATGAAACAGAAGATTTTACTGTGTGTTTGTAGAGCAGATAGCACCAAGGGGACTAATCCCAATTATCATTTCTAGGTACTAGTGTAGAACAAGCAAATAATAATAATACACAGATAGTAATGTGATAAGGATGGATGAGTGTGATGAACTCTGTGAACACTTAAAAATGGATCACTGGGGACAACAGAAAATAAATGACCATGAATCAGGAGGTTCTCAAGGGAAACACAAGCTATGTAGCAGGATAAAACAATATAAATGGAATGAAGTGAAACAATCAACACTGCGGTAAAATTAATACTTAACCATAAAGTAGTGATTCAATTGCAATGCATATTATTTAGGATGTTACTATGATATCCACATAGAACCTCACCTTTACGAGTTTCAAAAGAGAAACACTGCCATGTTATGCTTATCATAGAATATCAGGGTTGGAAGGGACCTCAAGAGGTCATCTAGTCCAACCCCCTGCTCAAAGCAGGACCAATTCCCAACTAAATCATCCCAGCCAGGGCTTTGTCAAGCCGGGCCTTAAAAACCTCCAAGGAAGGAGACTCCACCACCTCCCTAGGTAACGCATTCCAGTGCTTCACCACCTCCTAGTGAAATAGTGTTTCCTAATATCCAACCTGGACCTCCCCCACTGCAACTTGAGAGCATTGCTCCTTGTTCTGTCATCTGCCACCACTGAGAACAGCCGAGCTCCATCCTCTTTGGAACCTCCCTTCAGGTAGTTGAAGGCTGCTATCAAATCCCCCCTCATTCTTCTCTTCTGGAGACTAAACAATCCCAGTTCCCTCAGACTCTCCTCATTAGTCATGTGCTCCAGACCCCTAATCATTTTTGTTGCCCTCTTTCCAATTTTTCCACATCCTTCTTGTAGTGTGGGGCCCAAAACTGGACACAGTATTCCAGATGAGGCCTCACCAATGTCGAATAAAGGGGAACGATCACGTTCCTCGATCTGCTGGCAATGCCACTACTTATACAGCCCAAAAAGCCGTTAGCCTTCTTGGCAACAAGAGCACACTGTTGACTCACATCCAGCTTCTCGTCCACTGTGACCCCTAGGTCCTTTTCTGCAGAACTGCTACCTAGCCATTCGGTCCCTAGTCTGTAGCAGTGCATGGGATTCTTCCGTCCTAAGTGCAGGACTCTGCACTTATCCTTGTTGAACCTCATCAGGTTTTTTTTGGCCCAATCCTCTAATTTGTCTAGGTCCCTCTGTATCTGATCCTTACCCTCTAGTGTATCTACCACGCCTCTTAGTTTAGTGTCATCTGCAAACTTGCTGAGATTGCAGTCCACACCATCCTCCAGATCATTAATAAAGATATTAAACAAAACCTGCCCCAGGACCGACCCTTGGGGCACTCCGCTTGAAACCGGCTGCCAACTAGACATGGAGCCATTGATCACTACCCGTTGAGCCCGACGATCTAGCCAGCTTTCTATCCACCTTACAGTCCATTCATCTAGCCCATACTTCTTTAACTTGCTGGCAAGAATACTGTGGGAGACTGTATCAAAAGCTTTGCTAAAGTCAAGGAATAACACATCCACTGCTTTCCCCTCATCCACAGAGCCAGTTATCTCATCATAGAAGGCAATTAGGTTAGTCAGGCACTACTTCCTCT